TTGTTTCTTAGCCTTTTCATGCTGAGGCTGGGACTCAGAGAAGCACATTCCCTTTAGCTGGGTGCCTTCCTGTTGAGCTCTGCCAGTGGTGGAGGGGAAGCTGGGAGACATGAATCTAGAGGAGGGAGGGCCTTTTCCCTTCCTGTTTAGGTGACACAGCAATGCTTCTTCATCAGTGTGCTGACACCTGTGCCCAATAGCAGCAGTTGGTTCCAGTCTGTGGCTCCCTGAGCCCTCATCAGTGCCTGCTGGTCTGCCTCTCCTGGGAGATGTGAATCTCAACTCAGTCAGATTCTTTCAATAACACCAGCCAGGCCTGCTCCCCATCTCTGCCCCCACTTCCTCTAGTCTTAGAATTCGTTTCATGTACTATATGCTCCAGCACATTTATTCCTATTCATAGCCATACTTTAGAATAAAACTTAAAGTTGTATTTGTTATTATTATTGTGTGTGTATGTGTTTTTTGTGTGTATGCATATGTGTATTTGTGTGTATATGTATATGTGTGTGTATGAGTGTGGGCACACATACCACAGTTCATACATGGGGGTCATTACAACAAGCCTTACTACCAATCCCTCTTGTTTTCCAAGCCCTTAAAGAAGAAGCTGTTTCCTGAACATTTATGACATTCTGGTATCTGCTTTTGCTCTTGTCAATTTCCCACCATATGGCTAATTATTGAAATTAATTGTTTTCCTGAAGGTAACTGGTGGAGTGCCTGATTCCTGGCTACACTCTGACAGAAGTAGTCCCCATACCGGTCTCACTGCATTGTCTTGGACTATCCTGGAAAAGATCCTCTTATGGGAAATCAATACCAACTTCCCAGTACTTGGTGGACAATGTCCAAACCTCCAGGCCTGTCACATTTCTGCATGACATCTCTGTCTGCTAAGGCTTACACCCTAGTTTCTGGAAGCATGGTGCTTTCCTAACTTCTAGTGTGCCATGCTCTAGTACCGTCAGGCCACAGAACGTACAGCTCCTTCTGCTAAGAACGTTGATACCTTCTACCCTTTTAAATGGGTAACTTACATACATTTCAGGCATTAGCATGAGTGTCTATCCCCAACTCTGTGGCACACTGCGCTGTCCCTCTGACCACATACATTATTTGCCTATCTTTTTTGAGATTTATTTTAATTATGTGTATATGTGGTGTGTGTGTGTGTGTGTGTGTGTGTGTGTGTGTGT